CCCCCCGCCAATTTTCTCTGACTTTTTGGGAAGCCGATCAGTCAAGTAAACGTAGAGGTCCATCCGTGCCTAAATGAGAACCTGGCTTATGAACATCCAACAGTGCTGGATCAACTCCAGTCTCCGCTGTCAGAAGCCCCACCTGCAGTAGTGGGACCAAAAGTATGTCAGGACACGTGCACCTTTCCCCATATAAATCAAGGAGACTCGGTCCATGTGCACTAGGATTCCCCTATCTCTTAGTGCCGTGAGCCGATAGTTGCCTTCAACTTTAAGGAAGATCTCCCGGTACAGTGCAGGCCTGGGCTTCCTGGAGACTAGAAACTCTTCTGTAGGCTAAATTTACCTTCATTTCAGGTTACAGGATTGAATTAGATTTTTTAGAGCCTTCAATGAATAAGTTTCTCTGAGCCCACTTCCCTGAATATAAAATCAGAAGGTGTTTTGAATACTTAGTCTGTCGCTTCCAAAGAATTTGAAGTACTCCGTGTATATACTTAAGGCAGCATTATACTTTTGGGGACAGTTTAGTATTGCTGTTTTCAAAAGAATCTGAGGATGGGGACTGAACCGAGGAAAAATGGAAGTGAGGATTCCTAGTAGCATTGGGGGTGTAAAACAGCTTCTAGGGTAAGAAGAGACTGTATGCCAAAAGGAAAAAAGCTAAGGAAAGCTAAGCATTGGGGGTGTAAAACAGCTTCTAGGGTGAGAAGAGACTGTATGTCAAAAGGAAAAAAGCTAAGGAAAGATGATGAAGGAGGTGTTTCAGACAGGATTCATTCCCATAAAAGACTTTTTAAAGTATCCCAAGAATAGCTGGGACATGTATGGATGAATTTAGCCATACTTTTTCCCCCAGTAGAATTTCAAGTACCAGTTTGGGAGACTCTTGTATGATAAATGGACAGATTTAAGATGTGTTTTCTTCCATCCACTTAAAATGCCTCTTTCTTAGTTTTTATACTCCACTGGAAAGTAAAATGGATTTTTGAGGTAAATTTAGGTGACAGAACCAATGCAATGCTTTGAAGGAAGGGTTTTAAAAGTATTTAAAATGTATCCATTTGTATATTATAATGTTATAAGATGGTAGCTGTTTGGCAGAAAGAGAAATGTTAAGCAGTTGCATAACTTTGGATTGTTGTTGTTAAGTGCTGTAGAGTACATTCTGACTCATAGGGTTTGAAGCCTGTGGATTTGAACCGCCAACCTTGTGGTTTGTAGTCCATTTGAATAAGCCTCATCTCTCTGGACCTCAGTTTTCTTATTTATAAATTAAGGAGGTTTGGAGGAATATGAGATAGTCTAAATGGTCCCTTCCCAATTAAAAAATTTGTGATTGTCATCAGAATTTTGTGTTACATAATTAAGTATGCTTGTGATTGTGTGCAGTGATCAGAAACTGAGAAAGCCTTCAAATTTGTGTATATTTAATATTCTTTCATGAGTATACACTTAAAAAAAAAAGTAAATTAAATGCATTTGAATGTAATGAAAGTAGTAACATAAAACAAAACAGCCTCAGGCTAACCTTCACCCTGTCATACTTAAAACTACATAAATTGGGCAAGTTATAGTGAACACAATTTTCAAGTACAGAAAGTACAAAATCCTCTTAAAGGCCATAGGAGCTAAATTGTTAAATTCATTTTTCTATATTTCAGAGAAAGAGATAAATCCTTAGACCCAAGGAAGTCAGTTTTTATTATGTTTCTGTAGTTTATTTTTGGCATACATTCACAGGTGTGCCTATGGCTCTATTCTTAATCCCTTTCCTTTGGGATGGCTCCAAGAGTAGTGCAAATTTGTAACTCTGTAATTTAGCTCTTTAATTTTTTTCTGTGCTGCACCAGAATTATGTTTTATCTGAAGTCCACACTGGATCCCCCGGATGGGTCCTGCGAGGATTTTGAAGGAAGCATAATTCCTTTGACTTCTTTTAGAATTAATTTACCTATTAAATAAAAAGGGAAGAATTCATCTTTTATTTGAATTCCTCTGAGGCTAACATTTCAATATACACTGATAAATGCTCTGAGCATTATTATTCAGACAGCCACATTCAATGTGTATGACAATAACAGTGTAGCAACCTGAAAGACATGGGGAGTAAGGGAACAGATATATTGTATCTGTTAGAAGAAAAAAGGCATTAAAAGTTGATTTATTTCTGGAAAACAACAAAAATTGCAGCATGAGCTTAGTGCGTTTTTGGCTCCTGTTCTTTTGATTTTGGGGGTCAGCTGGTCATATCACCTAATGTGCTACCAGGAAATCCTGATATTTTGGACAAAGAATTTGAAAACGACTGATCTTTCTTAATTATTTCTTTTATGTATAACTAAAAGTGGAGTGGAAAGAATGAATTGGCATTGTCTTTATTATCTGGGCTGCCTCTGATTTTTTAACGCAAAAGTTCTTTTCCAGAGCTCCCTCATTTTGATCAGTATTCCTTCAGTACCGATGCTGACGATATGAGAATTAAAGACTTTTGTACAATTAAAGACAAGTATGAAATTTGCCCCATCATACTTTCTATATTTTATGCACATACTAGATTTATCAGGTCTGAACAAATGCCTGATGATACTGATTTTTTCATTAAGTCAACAAACTTTTTTAGATGCCAGACTGTGCTTGGCTTTGGGGATCCGTTATATTTCCTGTCCTCCTAGGGTTTATGGTCTGTCTTTGGGCAGTTTACATTGAATAAATAGGAATTGGACGTATGTTTTGAACTGTAAAGTGCTATGGAAGCCTGTTTAGTCTGGTGGGCCAAGGGAATCTTCTTGGAGGGAGTGATGTTTAAGCTGAGGGGAGGGATGAGCAGGATTGAATAGTATGCTCGCCAAACCGAAAGCCCATTCCCATCGATTCTGACTTATGGGCTAATGCGCTGGACTGCAAAGTTGCTTTGAACCACAAGGTTAGCAGTTCAAGCTCACCAGCTGCTCCTTGGAAACCCTATACAGGGTTGCTATGGGTTGGAACCAGCTGACGGCACTTAACAACAACAACAACAACATAGGATAGAGTAGGGTTGCTATGAGTCAAGAATATAGCAACCCTGTAGGACAGACTATGGAGTCCTGGTGTGGCGCTGTAGGATAAGCACTGAACTACTAATTACACAGTTAGTGGTTCAGACCCACCAGCTGCTCCTTGTAAACCCTATACAGGGTTGATTGGAATCAGAAACAACTTAACAGACAGCACTTCACAGTCTTTATGGAAGCAGACTGCCATATCTTTCTTCGAGGTAGAGTTGAATCACTGACCTTTTGGTTATCAGCCGAGGACTTAATCACTGTGCCACCAGGGCCCCTTGAATATGCCCACAGTTGGAAGGTATTTCTGTCATTGCTTTTAGTCTCAAAAGCTGTCAAGTTTTGCCTCAAATTTAGCTACTTAGTTTACTTCATAGCAACTTAGTTTACTTCATATGTGTCTGTGTAGCTAGCACTGAAGTAAGCCAGGTTTACCAGATATTTTTATGGATTCCTCTGATCAAGAATCTAAAGACCATAAGGTTGTTTTTTGGTTGAGGTAAAAATCTACACCAAAATAGTAAATTTGATCATTTTTCCCTGTTGTGGATTTTAGTTATAGTTGAAGTGTATACCTGGAAGGATGAAGGATGGTTGAAGCAGTGAGAGCTATTTAAAATGTTAAGGTATTAAGAAAATGGTGGCCTTACACAGAAGTTGTTTCTGTTGACACCATCATGTAGTAAACAGCCATGAGCTGCTATTTTTAAATATATTTGCGTGACTTTGTCTTTTACAGCATCAAGGTTACTGACGCTGCATGATGTTTGGTGGTTATGAAACTGTAGAAGCATATGAAGATGACCTTTATCGTGAAGAATCATCTAGTCAAAGTGTTGATAGTGAGGTGGAATTTCAACTCTACAGCCAAGTGCATTATGCTCAAGCTCTTGGTGATGCCAGAGAAAAAGAACATGAAGAAAAGGACTCTGGGAATTCTGAATCAGTGAGTAGTAAACCAAATCAGAAGAACCTAATTGTGATTTCAGATAGTGAGGTCATCCAGCTATCAGATGGGTCAGAGGTCATCACTTTGTCTGATGAAGATAGTATTTATAGATGTAAAAGAAAGAATATTACAGTTTCACCACAAGAAAAGACCCGGTGTCGTCCTGTGTTTCTTCATTCTAATGAGTTGGCTGATAAGAAATGTAAGAGGGATATTGAGAAACCCAAACCTCAAGAGAAATCAGCTATGGCCCAAGAGGTCATGATTATAGAGGTCAGTTCAAGTGAAGAGGAAGACAGCACCATCTCAGAAAGTGATGATGTGGAAAGTTGGATGCTACTGGGATGTGAAGTCGATGATGATAAAGATGATGATATCCTTCTCAACCTTGTGGGATGTGAAAAATCTGTTACTGAAGGTTAGTACTAACCATTTTGAGAAGTAGTATCTTTAATAAGGAAGCCTGCTTTTTCTAGACAGAAGACCAATAGGGTCCGCTCCATTTAATTCTTCACCTTTTAGACTTCTCTAGTGCTGTCTGTCTGCACATCAGAAAGAGCATGTCAGAATCCTAAATATATTCTGCTTCTGCTGTGTGCTCATTTATAGTTGCTTCCTGTTTGACTAGAACCAATTCTGGACCTGAAATCTTAGTTTCCCATTCTCTCTGCTTGCGACCACAGGTGAGTGCTCTATTCACCTTTGACATTGACCCTGTGTTCTCATTCTGCTAATTCTATTGCAACTACTTGTAATTGATTTGCTTACCCAGAAGTTAGCCAGATAGCAAGCATGGGGAATGCCTTATTCGTAGAGGATATGGAATTAGATTTAGGATTTTAAGAACTCCACAGTTAATAAAGGCAGGAAACTGTGAAGAACTGTGAGTCTATAGTAGAATGTAGGAGAGAATGCAGAGTCTGAGAATCACATTGTTGAAGATTGAGCCTCAGTCTTACCTTTGTCTCTGCTGTCATGTTGTCACCAAGTCAGTGTGCTTGTTCCTTAAAAAACCCCAGCATTTCATTTTCCTTCTCTTATTCCTAATGCCTAAACACTTGGGGAGTTTCCTAAGTGATCTTTCTTTCTTAATATCTGTCCTGTACAGTGTTGTTTAACCAGAAATCTTAGGAATGCCTTTTTAATTATGGTACTTTACTGCTGCTTCAGAATTTTTGATGGCGTCTGCTGTCCTCAGAGGAAATTATGGCACTGAATGTAGGCCATAGTTTAGAGCCTCAGGGATCAGCAAACCATTTTTCTAAGGAGCCATATAATAAATACTTACATGTGCTTACCTGGAGTCCTGGTGTGGCGATATGGGTTAATGCGCCAGACTGCAAAGCCATTTGAACTGCAAGATCGGCAGTTCAAGCTTACCAGCTGCTCCTTGGAAACTCTATACAGGTTTGTTATGGGTCGGAATCGACTCGACAGCACTTAACAACAACAACCTGGTATGGCAGTGGGTAGGGGTTAAACAGAAACTTGGAGGTTGGAAAGTGTTATGAGGAATAGTCTTCCCCATATTTTGAAGATGTCTACCTCTTTAATGGTATGCTGTTATAGGATAAGTACTGGACTGCTTACTATAAGGTTGGCAATTCAAACTCACTAGCCACTCTTTAGAAACCTTATACAAGGTTGCTGTGAGTCCAAATTGACTCAATGGCACTTAACAACCAACAACCTCTTTAACTTTAAAACAATGTTATAGACCCCCCATGTCCTACTTAAATTTTTAGTATGGATAGTCCTTGACTTGGGTTGTATAAAAGTTAAGTTGAACTATGCTTAACAATTGTCTGAGGGTTTTTTTTGGGGGTATACTTTATCAGTTACTAATATGTATTACATACAATATTGCAACATGTAATTTGCTGATGTTATCATACTCATGCTAATTCCCAAAGATGAAGATTGGATTTATAGAAATATTGATAATAAATGCAATAATAATGAAACTTAAAAAAAAAAGGGTATTTGACTTAGGTCAGAACTGACATGATAGAGTCATTGCAACGGAATCCTATTATAAATCAGGATCTGTTGTTAAATGCTGTCAAGTTGATTCTGACTCATAGTGACCCAGTTTCCAAGTTTCCAAGGAGTGGCTGGTGAGTTTGAACTGCCAACCTGGCAGTTCAAACTGACCTTGTGGTCAAGTGCGTATTATACAGCACTACACCAGGACTCCGTATGTCAGGGACTTCCTGTATTTAATTGAGAAAATGCTCATTAGTAAAAAATTACTATCCGTTACTTTTTAATGACTTTGTGTTTTATTAACCACAACATTGTCTACATATGTGAGAAATATTAATAATAGAGTCTTTATATATTATCCTGGTATGGCTTTGTAGGATAAACACTGGACTGCTAACCACAAGGTTGGCAGTTCAAACCCACCAGCTGCTCCTTGGAAACATTTAACAGAGTCTTTATATAATGGTTACCTCTGAGCTACCTGTTGTAGCTCCCCAGGAGTGTGTTGTTGTTAAGTGCCTTCAAGTGGGTTCTGACTCATAGCAACCCTGTATGGGGTTTCCAAGGAACGACTGGTGAGTTTGAACCGCCAACCTTGTTGTTCAAACCAACCTTATGGTCCAGTGCTTTATCCCACAGTGCCACATTATAGCTTTTAAATTGGAAATAATTGTGCTAATGAATCAACACTTGGAGAATAAAAGGATTACTTAGAAGTAGTATTCCATCAAAATTCAGAGATGAACTTGTAATGGACTTGCTCATAGGGTCCATAACTTTCCAATATCATGGAGCAGGATGAAAGAAGTCAAAGATCCAGGTTAAGATTTGACAAATGATTAGAGTATGGAGTGGCATGAAAACCTGGTAAGGTATTTATTTAAAGTTGGAGAGTCAAGAAAGACTTGTTAACCAGGATGCTAGAGTTGAGTTTTGAAGAATGAATAGTAGTTTGCCGACTGGAGGTGGGGATTAGGGATTATGAGTGGGGGGTGGAATAGGAGATTTTAGGTGGTGAGAATAGCATGCACAAAAGCATAGCTTGAGTGAAAAACATAGTGCGTTTGGAGACGTGTAGGTATTTCAGTTTGATAACATGATAGTTGGAATGAAGTGATAAATGCAGAATGAAACCACTAGGGTTGGGTCATAAAATGATGTGTTCTGAGTTTATCTTGAAATTAAATTGAAAGGCCTGGAGCCATTGAAGAATTTTAAACAGGGAAGTGCTGGGGTTTTCCCTCGACATAGTTGTCATGCGTGTTTGGTTCACGAGGAGGGGAGATCCAGCGGCGATAGGGATAGCGAAAGAATACACAGACAAACAGAAGAAGGGAGACAATGAGGCACCCCAAAGCCAGGGTGGATACATCACTGGTGGGCAGGCTTGGGAGCACAGTCATCGTGGCCTCTGCAGGCAGCAACTCACTGCCCTGCAATTTTTACTGCATGCCTTCCATGGGGGAAGGTGAGAGTTCTGCAGGAGACGCCCAGGTGAATGGGCTGCACCTGGAAAAGGGATTAGGGAGGATGGGTTCTTTGTCTATAGAACAAAGAACTGAGAAGTAACTAAGATATTTTTAGTTAATCCTTTGGAGAAAGGCTTAACCTTGCAACCTTTAGTCTCGGCTTTAGGAAAATATCACATTTATCTGTGGATTTTCAAAGGCTCCAGTGTATTAATTTAATATATATACCTGAATATTAATATGAAAGCAATTTGCCATTAACTGCCAGTGGCCTCATTTGTTACACTCGGCCCTAGAGGGCCTCGAACCTCTGACTAGTCTTACATGGTCTGCAAGAGGGAAGCAATATGTTCACATTTTGTTTTAACAAGAATTCTAGTGATTGTGTGACGGTTGAATTACAGAGTTAGCAGTCGGACATTGTAGGTGTGAGACGTAGAGTTTCTACGGCTGCTACAGTTGTTAGTGCTGTCAAGTTAGTACCGGCTCATTGTGATCCTGTATAGGGTTTCTGAGGAGCAGCTGGTGGGTTTGAACCGCTCACCTTGTGGTGTGCAGTCCAGTGCTTATCCTACAGCTTCACACTTCTGTAGTAATCTGTACTAAGAAAGTGGTGAGGACAGATTGATCTAGATATAGTGATAGTGGGATAATAAGGAGGAAATGAGTTTGAGAGGGCTTTGGGTGACTTACTGTTTGAGAAATGTTGTTAGGTACCACTGAGTTGCTTTCAACTCATAGTGACTCCATGAGACAGACGAAAACTGCCACAAAGGGTTGTTTTTTTTTTTAAATGTTTTATTGTGAATTATGTGATAGTTTACATGGGAGAACATTAGTTTTACTTTCATCCTATCGTTTCATTGCCATGGTTGTTAGAACACCCTCCATGTATCATCAACCAACCAAAGGTTATACCCTGCAAGCCTGCCCCCCAGTCATCAGCACAGAGCCCCTCTCCCTATCTGGGCCTAAAGTCCCCAGCTGCTTCATCTCTCTACGTCATCGTCTCTGCCTCCATCTATGGTGTCACTGCTTCTCTGGGTAGGATCCCGTTCTCTGCTTGATTGTCCCAGGGACCTCCACTCCTAGACTGCAAAGTCAATCCCTCCTTCCTTGCTACAAAACGTCTACCTTTACATTTCCAACCTTCACAGTCAGTCCTGTTAGTAATTACTCACTATTGTATCACAAGAGACCTATCCCCCATCTCCTTTCATCAGCCCTGCCCAGACAGATTGGATATTACTCAGTGGAGGTTCTACCTTCCTCCGCGCCCTCTGGATCTAGGTTCCCTCTTGAAAACTTGTAAGCCAGTCACTTCTTGCCTTTGTAGCCCCCCCACTTTGGGTATCAAATGTCCAAGTTGCCCATCCCTGTCTACTCTGTGTATGGAGGGGGTGGGACTGATCCTTGCTGTAAAGATTTGTCCCCTCTTTTGAGCTACTGATTCCATAGGTGTACGTCAAGTTCATCAAATTGTATCAGGTTACTCATTTTTTTCCTCTTCTTTCTTCTTCTGGTTGAGCTCTGATCATCCAGTCATTGAAGCCAGGTCAAATGGGTTTTATCTGCAAGTGTGGGTGTTCTTGTGCATATGCCCTCTCTTCTTATCAGCTGGACGCTTCACTCTCTACTCTAGTCCTCTGCCACAAAGGGTTTTGTAGGCAGTAACCTAGCTTGCTGAAAGTGAAGAGGACTTAAAATATTTACTGATAAAGATCAAAGACTACAGCCTTCGGTATGGATTGCATCTCAATGTCAAGAAAACAAAAATCCTCACCACTGGACCAATAAACAACATTCTTACTAATGGAGAAAAGACTGAAGTTGTCAAGGACCTCATTCTTTTTGGATCAACTATCAACATTCATGGAAGCAGCAGTCAAGAAATCAAATGACATATTACATTTGCCAAATCTGCTACACAAGACCTTTTTAAAGTGTTGAAGAGCAAAGATGT